ATCCTCAAGAGAGTTGTGTATGCCAGATTAACACACTTTCTCGATTCCAACTCTCTGCATGACCCCCTTCAGTCTGGATTCCACGTTGGTCATTCTGTCGAAACTGCTGTGACCAAAGTATCCAACTATTTAATTGCTGCTAAATCTCGTGGCCAATACTCTATCCTGATCCTCCTTGATCTTTCTGCCGCCTTTGACACTGTTGATCATCAACAGCTTCTTCACATTCTATGTAACATTGGTCTACGGGATACTGCTCTCTCCTGGTGCTCGTCCTACCTCTCCCAGTGCTCTTTCAGTGTTTATTTCTCTGGCTTTGGCTCTTCTCCCCAACCCCTCTCTGTCGGCGTCCCCCAAGGTTCTGTCCTCGGCCCCCTACTGTTCTCTATCTATACTGCCTCCCTTGGTAAACTCATCAGCTCCTTTGGATTCCAATATAATTTATATGCAGATGACATGCAAATCTACCTGTCCTCCCCTGATCTCTCTCCGCCCACCTTGACTTGTGTTTCTGACTGCCTCGCTGCTATTTCCAACTGGATGGCTGCTCACTTCCTTAAACTCAACCTGTCCAAAACAGAACTTCTAGTTTTTCCTCCCGTAAGTGCTGCTACTCCTGTGTCTGTCTCCATCCAAGTCAAAGACGCTACTATCACCTCTACCTCACAGGCTCGCTGCCTAGGGGTTCTTTTTGATTCTGATCTCTCTTTTACTCCCCATGTTCAATCGATAGCCAAATCCTGTCACCTCCAACTCAAGAACATAGCGCGCATCCGCCCATATCTAACGCCGGACGCGGCTAAGGTACTGGTTCATGCTTTTGTTCCCTCTCGTCTTGACTACTGCAATCCCCTTCTCCTAGTCTTACATGTTCCCAACTTGCACTGCTGCAATCTATAATGAATGCAGCTGCGAGGCTTATTTTCCTGTCCGGTCGCACCTCCCACACCTCCACGCTCTGTCAGTCCCTGCATTGGCTTCCAGTTAGATATAGGGCCCAATTCAAAATTCTGTTGCCTGCTTACAAATCCCTACATAATGCTGCTCCAACATACCTATCCTCCCTCATACACAAGTATGTCCCGTTGAGACCCCTGCACTCAGCCCAAGACCTATGCCTATCTTCTCCCCGGATCCCCACCTCTGATGCTCGCCTTCAAGACTTCTCCAGGGCTGCACCTATTCTGTGGAACTCCCTTCCCGCCTCAATCAGACTTTCACCCAGCCTCCACTCCTTCAAAAAATCTTTGAAAACTCACTTCTTCATTAAAGCGTATCAATTAAACTGTCAGCAGGTTTCTCATCCCCCACCCCATGACTCCTTTCCTGCAACTGTCAAAAATGACCCACCAAGCACTCAATAAACCCTTCTCTAACAAACTATGTAATTCCCCTACTTTAACCCTTTGTGTCACTATACCCCACTCCCTCTAGCATGTAGGCTCTTCTAACAGGGCCCTCAACCCCCTCTATTCCTGTACGTCCAGTCGTCGGATCTCAATTATGTGTCTGTTAGTTCAGTCATTGTACAGCGCTACGGAATTTGTTGGCGCTATATAAATAATAAAATAATAATTATACAACCTACGCTGGAAACACTGAACGATTTAGCTGCCCTTACAAATGTGAGTATGGTTATTTTATTCTATTTAGTCACCACATCAGGGAGAACTATTGTGTTTTTTCTTCTGTTTTTCATATCTATGGTTATGCTGCTGAAGAGGCTTTGATATATATGGAAGGGGTTTTTATCCACACTTTTTCCCCACTACAACTCTTTTGGTATGTACTTTACAAGTAACGCCAAGCCTCCATAGCAAGCCAGTAACAAACCTCATGCTGATGAGTTGCATTAACAATGAAGCAGCTGTCCATGAGTGATTCACTGGTTTTGCTCCTCTTCCTGAGTTGTGTTTCAAAGCTGTTGTATTCAGCAAACACATACTCCAAGGAATCAATGTATAAAGCGGAATTGAGGCAAAAACGTGGTACATTGTTGAGCTCATTTGCATACGCCTACCTAAAATCCCTTGCAGTAGTGAGAGCAATGTTAAAGTGAGATTTCTGTGGAAAAGGCAAGTCTTATGGCTTGACTGGTGTGTGTATTTGTGTTTAGCAATGTATTAACTATCCACTTACTTCAGGTGGAAGGGGTTTTAATCCACATTGTTTTCCCCTTCACAACTCTTTTGGTATGTATATGTATTATGTATATATTTATTTATATCTTCTCCTTTGGTGTGGATTGTACCACTGCATGCTACTAAGTCCAGAGCTGGCTAGAAGCTCCATTACATTACATATGAGTGGATATTCACACTTTTGTTGTGTGTCCTCCATATACCACATACATATTGCACCATTGGTTCTCCTCTTTCTGTCTCTAGACATTTACCTACAAAACATTCAAGTATCACAATATGTATATGTATAATCATCACTGAATAAGTAGTGAAATTCTTTCACCTTAGACTTCATTGCCCTCCAATGATCAGCACAAACTTGAATAAGCAACATTTTATTAAGTGAATGGACCTCTCTTCACAAATGCAGCAGCAGTTACTGCAGCAGAGAAATCTTGCAAGGGGTTGACAAGGAAATTACAATTTAACCCCAAATAGCACTGTACCAAATTGTTGTCTGTCAGTCAGAAAATTACGAAAGGTAGGTTAGTTTACATGAGGTACATAGAATAAAACTAGAGTATAAGTGGAATTATTGAGTAGACACTGCAATAAATTAAAGTAATTTAATTAAAGTAATTTAAGTAAAATTGCTAGCAGATTATTGCCATATTCCACAGTCTGGAGGGTATTGGTCACCCCATTGCATTGTATCATTAGTTTAGTGGGAAAGTTCCAATGATGAAGAATTTCTGAGTCCCTTGGGACTTATAATGTATTAGCGAGGCAGTTGACCCAGTCAAGAATAAATTCCTGTTCTGTAGCACCAGGTAGCAAGGTTTTAAATAAATCTGTTATGAGTTGTGCTAAACTGTGCTCTTGCACCTCCTCTGGTATGCCACTGATCCATAGACACAATCCTTATAATCCACCAGTATGTCTTCCAATTGTGTGACCCATGTCTGCATAGTCGAACATGAATCAGTCTGAATTTCAATTTGATGCCCTCTGCAATTTTCAGGAGCTCTGCTTTAAGGTTTATTAAACATAAAATGGACGTTGGTGTCAATGATGGCCTTCAAGCTAGTGGAAGGAGACATGGCCTGGTCATCTTGGCAGAACATGGGGTAGATGTCACTGATGAAATCTTTGAGGTATGTACACTCTGCTTCACCTTTTTAGATGATTTATTGTTCATGATGTCCTGGGGCCCCTCACCTGCATTTGTTCATCAAGAAAAAAATTGCTTATGTTTAAAATTTGTTTAATTGCACCAGGCATAAGGATCTCAGAAGTCACGTAATCTTCTAAATCAGTAGCAAGGCACCCTTTCCCTATTAGTTATTTTGTTTTAAAGATTTTAAGGTATATGGTTAGAGTTAAGTGAACCCTTAACTCATTTTTTGGACCCCGGACCCGAACACGGACATATCAGTGAGTTCGGTGTTTTGCGATTTAATGGCCCGTTTTGAAAGGCTGCAGGGCAGCCAATCAACAAGCATTTGACTCATGTACCCTTAGAAGCCATCACAGCCATGCCTACTAATGGCATGGCTGTGATTGGCCAGTGCAGCATGTGACCCAGCCTCTATATATAAGATGGAGTCGCGTAGCACCGCACACACTTGAGCTCTTATTAGTGTAGGGAGAGGATGCTGCAGCTGTGAGGGACAGATTAGGAAAGTTTTGGTGTTGAATCTGCAAACTACAACGATTATTCATACTACGGCGATTATTTTTGTGGGTGCTATAATACTACATTTTTGTACCCTGCCCTGAGCCCAGTACCATAGAGAGTGCAGTGCACTTGCAACTGCATGCGTGCCAGGCAAATTACTTTAATCCTGTTCTGGTAGCTCAGTGGGCAACATCTAGGCATTTTTAAATACTACAATTTTTTTTGGTGCTAAATAGTAAATTTGCGTACTGCATTTCTTGCAGTCCAATAAAACCCTTAAATACTACTGTTACATTGTTGGTTTAAAAAATCTAACTTTTTGGTGCTAAATAGTACATTTGCGGTCTGCGGTGCACTTCATATCTGAGAGTCAAATAGAACCGTCAAATACTGCTGTGACATAGCAGTTTTAAACATTTGAATTCTTCAGGTACTAAAAAGTCATTTTGGTGCCTGCATTTCATATCTGAGAGTCAAATAGAACCGTCAAATACTGTGCTTACATTGCAGTTTTAAAGATTCCAATTCTTTAGATGCTAAAAAGTCAATTTGGGGCCTGCACTTCATATCTGAGAGTCAAATAGAACCGTCAAATACTGCTGTGACATAGCAGTTTTAAACATTTGAATTCTTTAGACGCTAAAAAGTAAATTTGGTGCCTGCACTTCATATTTGAGAGTCAAATAGAACCGTCAAATACTGTGCTTACATTGCAGTTTTAAACATACAAATTCTTTAGGTGCTAAAAAGTAAATTTGTAGCCTGCACTTCATATCTGAGAGTCAAATAGAATCGTCAAATACTGCTGTGACATAACTGTCACGTATTCATCCGCTTATAGAAATGTGGTTAATGACATTTACTGTCCACACAGGAAAAGTTGTGCCGAGCAGCAACCTAATCCACAGAAGGGTTAATGCTGAGCAGTAATTGTGCAAATGAAACCTGGTGTCATGTATTCATCCGCTTATAGAAAAGTGGTTAATGACATTTACTGTCAACACAGGAAAGGTTGTGCCGAACAGCAACCTAATCCACAGAAGGGTTAATGCTGAGCAGCAATTATGCAAATGAAACCTGGTAACTGACTTTGAGGTCAAAGGCCGGTTACAGCCTATCAGAACTAAAGGAGGGGTATTTAGGCCCAGTTCTCAGCCTGCTCAGTGCCCTGTCGTGGTTTCCCTTGTGGTTGTCTGAGAGCGCGTTCCTGTTTATAGTTTTCTACCTGGTTTTTGACTTTGGCTTTGTTTATTGACTTCTCTATATTCTGGTATCCTGACTCCTGGCTTTCCTCATCGCTGTGTCCCTTTCTGTGTTCCCTGACCTCGGCTAGTATTTTTGACTATTCTTTGTACGTTAAATCCGGCCATTCTAAGGACCGGTAATACGTTACTTATTTGTCATCCGTGCTGTACAGTTCTACGTGCTGGATCAAACAGTAATCCTGACAATAACAGTTTTAAACATTCCAATTCTTTAGTTGCTAAAAAGTAAATTTGGGGCCTGCACTTCATATCTGAGAGTCAAATAGAACCGTCAAATACTGTGCTTTCAGCGCAGTTTTAAAAATTCTAATTCTTTAGGTGCTAAAAAGTCAATTTGGTGCCTGCACTTCATATCTGAGAGTCAAATAGAACCGTCAAATACTGTGCTTACATTAGTTTTAAACATTCAAATAATTTAGGTACTAAATAGTAAATTTGGTGCCTGCACTTTATATCTGAGAGATATGCTTACAGCGCAGTTTTAAAAATTCTATTTTTTTTGCTGCTAAATAGTACATTTGTGGCCGGAAGTGCACTTCATATTTCAGAGTCAAATAGAACCGTCAAATACTGTGGTTACAGCGCAGTTTTAAAAATTCAAATTCTTTAGGTGCTAAATAGTAAATTTGGAGCCTGCACTTCATATCTGAAAGTTAAACAGAACCGTCAAATACTGTGCTTACAGCGCATTTTTAAACATTCAAATTCTTTAGGTGATAAATTGTACATTTGTGGCCTGCACTTCATATCTGAGAGTCAAATAGAACCATAAAATACTGTGCTTTCAGCGCAGTTTTAAAAATTCTAATACATTTGGTTGTGCACTTCATATCTGGTGTATGTGTGCAACACTGGCTAGTTACCGCTTCTCAAGAAAGTCTAAAGACTTTTTAAAAAGTGAAAAATAAGTGTTATTGTGATCGCTTCATATACAGAAGCATTACTATACATTTCTATATTGTGTAAAGACACAACTACAAAGTTAAAAACCAAACACCAAAACAACGTGGAATGAAGGTCATGCGAGTGACGTGTGCAGTTTTGAGGAAGAGGCGCTGGTCGCACAGAGGCACCAGCACAGCATAAGAGGGAGCAGGGTGCAAAAGTGGAGAGGCTGTCCCCTAGCACTCATCGGCATGTATTAGCTTTAGAATTCCAACAATTATCAAAGTAACAGATGGAGCGATAAAAGGAACCATAACAGATTTAACGAGCCATTCGCAGTTTCACAGTCAGGGGGGCAGTCCGGTGACCGGGACCCAGACACTGTCTGGGTGGCGGTCGGACGACCTGGACCCAGTATGTCTGATGTTGAAGTTAGGAGTCACAGTGTGGAAGGGATTCGCAGGGTCTGGTGCAGGGTAACCGCACGCCCCCTGGTGTAGAGCACCAGCGTTTGTGCGGCCACATACCAGGACCCTGATGCAGCTTCAGTGAGCAGCAGCTGGTGATAGTGGAGTTTCAGTTGCAACACGCACGGGTCAGGAGCCCTGCACCAGACTTGCCCTCCAATTGATCCAAGTTAAAGGATTTAAAGTGGACTCATTACAATTACAGGGCCTCGAAAGAGTAGTGTATTGTTATTTGTCGTCACTACCTCCCCGCATCGGGAGTGGGTAATTTGCGCGCCTGCTGCCTTCCTTGCATGTGGTAGCCATTTCTCAGGCTCCCTTTCTGGAATCAAACCCTGATTTTCCCGTTACCTGTGGTCACCATGGTAGGCGTGGAAAATAGCATCTAAAGTTGATAGGGCAGACATCCGAATGCGTTGTCGCCGTCACGGGGACATGCGATCAGCACAAGGTTATCACAGACAAGTGCAGCCGCCTGTCCACGGCCAACGTGGACAAGCTCACCTTTCTCAAAATGAATCAGGCATGGATCCCACCAGACTTGTCTGTACCTTGTGCAGAATAGACAAATGCAACGTGTCCACAAGGTGGAACTCCACCTTGCACATGCTGGGGAGACTCTGCGAGTAGCTGCAGGCGATAGACGAGTTTCAGCTGCAGCACGCACAGGTCAGTCGCTCTGCAGAACAGCACCACTTTACCAACGATGAGTGGGCCTCCATGCGAGACCTGTGTGCCATGTTGCGCTGTTTCGAACACTCCACAAACATGGCCAGTGCTGATGACGCCGTTCTCAGCCTTACTATCCCGCTTCTATATCTCCTTGAAAAAATGCTTTGGGCGATGATGGAAGAGGATGTGGCAGAGGAGGAAGAGGGGTCATTTCCATGGTTATCAGGCCAGTCATTCACAAGTGGCTCGGAGGGTGGGTTCCTGCACCAGCATAGGCCATGTACACAATTGTCCAGCATCTCCACACTGTCTCATGGAAGCCTTCAGCTGTCCATCTCCCAAACACTGGAGAGAAAGAGGAAGTACCCCTCTACCCACCTGCGATCCCTGGCCCTGAATGCCAGCATTTCAAAATTCCTGGCCTTTGAAATGCTGTCATTCCGTCTAGTGGAGACTGACAGTTTTAAAAACCTGATGGTGTTATTTTACTGCAAGAAATGCTCCGCAGGCCCCAAATGTTTCTTTTTTTATATGTCCCAATATTTTGCCATTTCTTGGCATTATTTCTCCATGCATCAGGAGTTCAGCTCAGTTTGAACAATGAAAGAGAATACCCTGCACTCCAACCCTCTCTCAGGTGTACCTCCTGACAGCCATGCTTTAGATTTTGATTTATGTTCTTCCAAAGCTAAAATCAAAGATTCCATCTAGTGCTATTTTATGGCTCAGCTGTATTTTAAATTTTTATGTATTTTATGTTATTTTAAGTGATTTCCCTATCCACATTTGTTTGCAGGGCACTTGTCCTACTCTTACCCCCATTTTACTTCCTTTTGCAGCCCTCTAGCCCTTTCCAGGACTTTTTTAGAGCCATTTTTGTGCCCAAAAGTTCGGGTCCCCACTGACTTCAATGGGGTTGGGGTTGGGGTTCGATCCCAAACCTGGACTTATTTCCGAAGTTTGGCCGAACTCGCCAAACCTGAACATCCAGTTGTCCTCTCAACTCTATATATGGTGTTTGCTATTTTCCATGAATCTGATGTGTGGTCAGGGGGGAGATTTATATAGGCAAATAATTTGCTGTATTAGGAAAAAGTGCAAAATAAAGTTCAATAAGGTACAATCACTATGGAAGCTAATAAAAAAAATATAAATATAAATGTTTAAGGTCTCAGCCATACACACATCCTCAACTAGCCATAAGTTATCCATTGTGACCTCTAACATATCTAAATACAACACACTCACTAACAGCTTGACAGATTTAGCCGAGTAAATAACAGACATGTGTCATATACTATTACACCCATCTATACAGTATTTCATGGCACACATTCCAGCATCTATGCCAGCAAGGAAAAAGCTCTTAAAAGTTAAATGATGAAGGGTAATACTAATAAGGTTTAAAATTAGTGTTTCCAAGTAATATGAGAGCTGCTGTTTAATGTACTAAAATCTGGAAACAAGAATTGTAAATCTGAACTTGAAAGCTTATCTTAACCCTGTTTTTTTTTTTTTATCTTATTTTTTTTTTTTTTTAATATATATGTCTAATTAGCAGAAACCTTTGTATTTGATGTTCAGCGGATGTTAAATCTCCAGAACAAATACAGCAAAACCATTCTCTATTTTCTTTCATATTTATATTAAATATTTAGTAAATGACAGCGCAACACTGAAAAAAACAGAAACAGTTTTATGCATTCACTATTTTGACTGCCAGGTACAAAGTATTTATTATTATTATTATTGCCATTTATATAGCGCCAACAGATTCTGTAGCGCTTTACAATATTATGAGAGGGGGATTTAACTATAAATAGGACAATTACAAATAAACTTACAGGAACAATAGGTTGAAGAGGACCCTGCTCAATCAAGCTTACATTCTATAGGAGGTGGGGTGTGAAACACATTAGGACAGGAATTTGCTGCCCTTTAGGAGACAGCAAGAGACAGGTATGTGAGATAGAGGTTACTCTGGGAGGCCATAAGCTTTCCTAAAGAGATAGGTTTTAAGGCACTTCTTAAAAGATGCAAAGTACAGAGCTTTTAGCAATGACTGACAGGTATCTAAAATAGATGTAACTGATTGCAAGATAAAACGGTTGGAATTTATGCATTGAAGTTTATTTTTAACATATAAATACTTATTTGTTAAATATAAGGGATAAGTAAACATAATATTAAAAATCAAGGAAAGTGACAGTCCCCTATTAACGTTTAAGTCTCTTATTACTTTTGAAGTAGTGCTGACACCTGCTGGGCTCAAAGTTACCTGCAGGTAGAAAATGAGTTCATTCAGTATAGGACTATTTGATTGTATTCTCTTGACCACACAATCACTCCACTTGTCTATTTGCGTAGCAATTGTGTGGACTGCATTGTGCTTGATCAATGTGTGGGCAACTACGTAGGAACAGTAGGCACAAGTTGGAGACAAATAGCATCCCAGTTGCTGATTATTGCTGCACGGGGGCACACGAATTATGAATAATTATATAATGTCATTATTGAATGATAAATGTAGGACTTATAGAAACAGGTATACGTAAATGAAACATAATTCAAAATAGAACTTTCAAATAGTGGTTAAGAGCCAAAAGTGCAAAACTAGGATAAAAAGTAATAACTGAAATTTATAAGGATACAATTAAATATCCTGCTTTCACTTAGGGCGACCTTTAGTTCTGCAAGATCTCAACCTAAGCAAGGCATATGGTACAGAAATGTATTATCACTGATGTCACATAACACACATCTCCCAGAACTGAGGGGGCTGATCGTGAGGTTGCTTGGACATTGCTTTTCCTAGCATTGCGTCTCGTACACCAAACTCCAACCTAGGGAAGATGCAGGGTGTGTGATACAAAGTTTTCAAATAAATTAATGAATAACAATGTTTATTCTCACCTAGACTCTTCTCACATTGGTTCAGTATTAGTCTTGTTTCATACTAGTCTTGTTCAATATCATATTATTCCAGTAAATCATTTTTTTTACAGTTTTGCCCTGTGTATTTTTTATTTTATTTTTTTAAATAATTTCCGTGTAGGTTTAAATCTATCAACTGATGTTTTACTACTAATTACATTTAACTTAAAAATATATTTTACATTTTTCTGTGGTGACATACTTTTAATTATTATACATCAATTACGAGGACATACTTGAAAACTAGAGAAATCTCAATGTATCTTTCCTGGTAAAATATTTTATAAAATAAATAAATAAATATGCATGTGTTTTCTGAATAATGTGTAAGAGCACAGTACATTATATTGGTTATGACAGAATTGTTAAAATAATATTAAATAGTATTAAATTAAATTCAGTATTTCACATTTTCAAAATATTATTTGTAATATTTGAAAATTTCTAATACAGTGATAAAAGATAAATTGACAGGGATTAAATATTTTTATAATGCAATGCATATTTTATAACGTCTGTGCATGTATAATCTGTTAGTACTTTGGATTAGGATCCAAAATAGTATGAGTACAATGGGAATTTACTCATAATAAAAATCTGCATTAAACGGACACTAAGCAACAGGATCACTGCAGCTTAATGTAGTGTTTCTGGTACAAGGAGACTCTTCCTGCAGTCTGACAATTGTAATTACTGCCTTTTATGAGAAACATCAGTGTTTACATTGAGTTGGAAGGACACCTTTAGCAGCTGTCAATCATGCACTGTAGCCCTCTACTGCTTCCCTATGATAGCAGAAGAATGAGGGCTTAAAGGACCTCTATAGGCACACAGACCACTTCAGCTCAATGAAGTGATCTGGGTGCCAGGTCCCCCTAGTTTTAACCCTGCAGCTGAAAACATAGCAGTTTCAGAGAAGAGAGTTAAAGGTGTTAAAGAGACGCCTGGGATTGCGGGAGCATGAACTAATAATAAGAGAGGAAAAGTATGACTGTTTGGCGAGGGCAAGGGCTGCGCTGTATGAACACAATATGAATCTATAATTGAGAAAGTCTGACTGTGAGCGAGATTTCCTCCAGGAGCGTTCAGCACAATGGGAGCATCTTTGCAGGTAGCGTGTTGATTTAGCATGCCACGGTTGGGGGCGAGTCCTCCTTGAGGTGTATGTTTGGAGCGGGGCTGCAGCGTTCAAGGCAGAGGTGAACGTAGTGTTATATGTAAAGATGACCAGTGAGGGACAGGAGAGGGAAGTGATGGATTGCAGTAAGGTTCCTGACAGCCACTAGAGGCCGTTTCCATGATTCTTAGTGTGAAAATCACATTGAACTCACGCTGGATGTCCATAGGAAAGCATTAAGTAAAGCTTTCCTATAGGCGGTTTGAATGCGCACGTGCCTATGGCTGCGCATGCGCATTCGGCTCCATTCAGGAGCTGACGTCGGCAGGGGGAAGAGAGTTCCCCAGCGCCGAGGGAGCCTGACACTGGATTAAGGTAAGTGACTGAAGAGGTTTTAACCCCTTCAGCCCAGCAGGAGGGGGGCTCCGAGGGAGGGGGTGACCTAATAACCATATAGTGACAGGAAAATGAGTTTGTTTTCCTGGCACTATAGTGTTCCTTTAAAAAGTAAGTAATTATTCTATATTTTAAGTTTGCAGGGGGCCAATAAATCTAAACTTGCAGGAGAGCATTCTAAGTTTAGAAAAAATATATTCATTTATTAACTTTAGAGTACTCCTTTAAATTCAAAATTGAAAAATGAAACCTCATTATTAAAAATAAAATTGATGGTTAGAAAAAAAATTCCTATAGATTTGCTTTTCACCTTCTAGAGAATAAGTCTGAGTGTGTTTTCTTTTTCTTTTTTTTCTTTCTTAATTTCTTTTCAAAGGTATTTTGATTCACCAAGTAGAGTAACTTTTTTGTTGTTGATAATTTCATTATTTGAAGGGCAAGAGATCATTCGTTTAGATTTTTATGAGAAATGTATTTA